AAAAAAAAAAAAAAAAAAAGCATGCTATCAGGAAAAAAAGAATCTCCCCAAACACACATCTGTCTGAATGTACTCATTCACCTTCCATCTGGCCTTTCTCATAAGCAGCTATCCTGCATGCCCTGCTTGCTAATCAGAGAAATAGAATACATATTAGGTAAAATGGCAGAATGAAAATGTCCCTGTGCCCTTCATTCTGCAACACTTACTTTTTGCAGCATTTCAACAAACCCCCATGGCATGATCCTGAGGGAGAGAATGTCGGTGGGCAGGATGTAAGACGGCAGAAATTTCCCTGGCTCTTACACTCTACAGTGTCAGCAAAAGTCACATCTCCATAACCTATGGGAAGAAGAGCACGTTAAAACCTCAGTTTTCAGTCTGACATGGTAAAGACGATTATACAACATGCTAAGCGTGTTGCATCTCACCTGGAGTAGCCTGGAAGAGGAGGAAAAGAACAGCAAAGAGCAGGTAGAGGATCCGCATGGCTATCAGTCAGCTGTGGACTGTGTGTCCCTTCAAAAAGGCTCAAATACCAAGGGAGGATGAAGCTTTTCCGAGGAAGAGGCTCGGGAACATATGTGGTATTTATAGGACTTGCAGGACTGTGAAATTTTGATGTCCGAGTGCTCTGTCAATCAGTAACTGCAACCAGCCATCTGGAAAGATGACTGTTAGCCCACATACCTCGGGCTGCAATGAGATGTGCAACAAACATTCAAAAGAACGAATTTCCACCTGGTTAGGCTTTTGTATAGTCTGACCATCTGCAAAGTCTCACTGAATTGCATGAGCTCTCGTGGCTTTTGCAGGCCTGTATCCAACACAGACATGGGGATGGGTCAGGCTATAAGAACTATCAGCATCTACTCCCTCAGATCTTTTGCTCACTTTATGAGTTATGTAACATTTTATATCTATCTCCCTACTCCCATAATGCAACGTATCATTCTCACTTATATCCCACTTTGAGTGCTTTGCTTGGATTTACTAAGCCTGCAGAGTGATAAAACCTGCCCTTGGATTATGAACTGGAGTAATATCCAAAGGTCTAACTGAATTCAGTGTATCTATGGCTCCCCCTTTTGTTTCCTCTCTTATTTCCATGAAATTATGGTAGAATGGATGGATTCCTTAAGAGTCTGTTAAGTTACATGGGTGTTACAGCTGTGATTGCTCTTCTTACAATGAAAGGAAATTTATTTCCAGTTTCAAAGAGAAATTGGAATTCTGAATTCCTTGATAAGCTTACAGGAGGATGAAATCATTGGAAGGTTTTCTTAACAAAATCCTGGACTTGTAGATGTCAAACCCTGCAATAGCTCTTGTACCTATAGGATTTTTTTTTTTTTGGGGGGGGGGAGAGATACCATCATGCATAACCAAGAAGTTAATCCCATTTCTGTAGTTCCTTCCACCGCCATTCTGGCTCAGCCATTTACTTCCTTATTACCTCATTTACCAGATTTAACTACAAGTTAATGGTATTTTTGTTCTAAGAATAATTAATAGAATGAAGACTTTACTGATGTTTATGTTTAATCTGATATTAATTATGGTAACAGGCAAGCTTATGCAACTAAAAGAAAGGAGCAGCAAGATGAGTTACTTAAATGCTTACCCAGGGAATAACACTGTGATAAATATTTATTTCCATCTTCCAACCATCAGACCTAATTGTCAGGAACTACCAAACCCTCTAAAATGTCATTTTTTGTCCCACTGCCTTAGAAAGTATTATCTTTTTGCCACTAACTCTCCAACTTTTCCTCTTTCTAATGGAGAGAGTGTCTGCAATCTGAGCTGATTCATCATTAGTCTTTCCTCTTCCAGCAAGTTGTCATGGCTGAGTGACATCCTGTGACAGTGGCTGAGAGATAGACATCTGACCTGGAATATGAACATGAAGAAACCAGGAAATGAAACTTTTTTGTTTTTATGGAAAAAAAGATCCAAAGAAAAATGAACTTTCTCTCCATCTATCCTTCATGAAGACGGGCTGAAGATGTAGGGACATTTTGTGGACCGAATCGTGCTTTATATGTGTCCTCTGAAAAAAGTTCATACCAAGGATGAGTCAAGTTTCCACACACACAGATAAAACCCAGAATGTGACAGCACAGAAGGTAATTTATTCTTTGCTTCCATGTGCAATATTTGAACCAGCTCCACTCACTTTCAGAGCTGTATGATGGTCTCCATCCATGGAACAGAATCAATCTCTATCCAGTGTCAATTGGCTCGGATGTCAGTATTGCAAATTGTTATAGCCTCCATGGATGTTGTCCAACTGCCTTATTACTTTCAGAGAGAGAGAAGCACTCTTGGAAAGTGAGCAACCTTTGAAGCCCACTAGCATGGGTAACCTGAATATTTCTTTCAGAGCAATAGGAAAATTCCATGAATCTCTTTCCCAGAAAAAAAAAAAAAAAAAGGCACAAAGACACAAAGGCAGGTGCAACCCAATTGCTTAAAACCAGACCAAACCTGCCTAAAGTGCTTGAAGAACAGAGCCATGTGTGCAGGACAGCAGTGACCTGAGGCTGCAACAGGGCTATGTCTGCATCAAGCCATGCCCACGGCAGCCCATGCTGGGAATGAGACTCTCCTGCAGAGATCTCTGGTGGATGTTAACTTCCAAACTAGAGCTGGGAACATAAGGGGATGTAGGTACCTACCCTTGGGAAATCAAGCTCTCCCAACAATGGCTTTTGGGGGACTTTAACTTAAAATCTTATGAAAGTATATTGCCGTGCAAACAAGACAAAGGACGCCATGCAATGCTTGATAGTAAATGAAAAACAGGGAATAAACCCTCGACACTCAAATGACTTTAATTCTGCCTTTGTGATCATGAATGGATGCCAACTGATCTTACCTGTGCCTCAGTGGCTAAGCGCAAAAGGACTCAGTATTTCAGCAGAAAGAGATCATGGAGTTGTATCTCAGAATGGGGCTCCTTTTATTTCCCTTAATTAATTAATAGGAAGTTGTATTATCCTACAATGGATAGATATTTATGTTTAGATGTTTTTAATCCAACTTCACTGAGTTTTGTCCTAGAAGCACAGCCTTCCAAAGGTAAATAACATGTAAAATCTAAAATGCTGAGTGGTTTGGAAACATCATCTTTTCCCAATAATCAAGCACATACATAGACTGATTGAGTAGACCTTGATGTCTTCTGCAAAGTAGACCTTTTTCTTTTGTTTGCTGTTCTTGCATTACCATCTCTAACTAAACATAGTTCATAATGAGAATCATATGCACAACACTTATTGCTTTCCAGTCTACTTTTTCTCAAATAATTTATCTTAAACACAAATTAATAGTTAATAAATAATAAATCATCAAGTTGTATGTATTTACATACATGTATATACATCTATATATTTAGTAGTATAAGAATTATTATGCTTCTGGGAATGGTTATCTATAAGATGTGCATGTATTTGGACACTGATAAGACTTGATTCTGCCATTCTAACGACAAGCATGTTTTTTAAAACCACATAGGCACATGATTAGCCAGCATATTACATGTTTACACCTCTTTGAAACCCAGCTAGAGTTAGCACATATTTCACAGGTCTCCTGAGTGAGAATTGATGAGTAATACCGTACAAATCCTTACAATATATGCCGAGTGAATTCATCTTCCATTAGTCAAAAATAAAATATATTAATTTATTATGATAATGCATTGGTCTTCACCTTATATTGGAAGCTCTCAAGACTTTGCAAACTATATCAGAAGAGAAGCAGCTGGAGAGCTGCTCTGTACGTAAGGATAGCTGAGTGCTGAGGTTTGGGGATCTAATCAGTAATCATCTATTTGCAGTTTGGTTAACCTTGGTTTCTTTGATCTGAGTCCCATGCATTCTGGTGTTGCAACCTCTACAATGAGTCAACACTTGGCAGACTTGACATGACAAACAATGTCAGACAACAAGCATAACCACCCTGAAAATTGGCATGTCTTCCCATAGTTTATTGCTGTCACTGCTTAAATTGGTCTCTGTCTTTGTCCTGAAGTGGGGATGAAGGCTTTTATACTAGGAAACTAAAGTAATGATCCTTGTGGCTGAAGGTCTGCTGAGATGCTGATCATATAGGGAGGATCCTTAGCAGCAGAGTGTTTCTAATGAACAGGCTCTGCGTGATTATGAAATGATAGAGCTTGGTATTCATGCTGATACAGAGACTTTTCTAGCCTTCTAGGAAGCAAATGACGTCTCGTTAGGTCAGCACCACAGGTAAAGCCTGGGCCTTGCATTATGTAACAAATTACACAACACTTGCCAGTGAACTAATCAGTGGGTTGCACAAGGCCTGAATGCGTGTGCAATATTTACCCTTTACTGCATGTTGAGCTGTGTCCAGTGGGGACTGGAAGAGAAGCCAGGCAGGACCTGGTTGGGGATCAAGAGCTCTTTTCTTGTGCCTTCATCATCAAAATGCTTCTTTCTCAGATGCTAGCCTAGGATAGCATGTCATGGTTCAAAAGCATAGCCCCAGGCAAAGCAGATACGGCTCAGCTGCTAGTTTCATTAAACATCTACCTGCTGTGGAAGTACAGTGACAAACAGTTTGTTATGGCTAAGGTCAGATGACAAATAAAGAGTGATGACTCTGGGAGGATTTTCTGAGACTGCAGCTAATTTCAGTTTAATTTTTGTAGGACCCATCCCCTTTGGGGGTTGAAAGGCCTCTATATAGGAGCATGCTACTCCTTAGAGGGCAGAGATAGCAAGGGTCAGCCAGTCTAGCCAGTCCACCCATTAATACTTTTGTTATATATTTTCCCCAAAAAGGTATTCCCCTGAATATCACCTTGTGGTAGGGAAGCCCATGTAAATTCACTCTCTGTCTCCCTGTTTCATCACCACATCCACTGCTGGTTTTTCCACACTCTGGCCTTCATTTCCTCTCTATCCCTGCTCCTTCTTCCTCCCATAGACCTGGCCATGCTGAGGGATGAAGACTGGCCAAATCTTATCTGGGAATGGTATCGTTACAGCAGCACCTGTAGCAGCCAGCTGGAAAAAGTCACTCAAATTGAAAGGTAAGCCACTGAGCTTATCTTTACAACTTAAAGCTCACCACTGAGCTTTACCTTTTGAACTCCCTTGTTGGGCTGATAGGACATAAGCCCATCTGATTTTTTGTCCACTGAAGCTGACAGAAGTCTCAAGGCCATTTGAAATAACTCAGCTGTGTTGCAGTGACTAGTCTTCCGCATAAAGGTCTTCACAGAGCCACCCACGGCCAATAGCACCTGATCCTTCTTGCGTGACATTGCCCAGAAATGATGCTTTTAATGGTTGCACCTAACCCCCACCTCATATGATGAGATTCCTCCTGGGTAATGAGCCCAGACACTGCTGGCAAAATGACCTTCAGAAACGTCAAGATTTGCTAGCAGCAGTCAGGGCAGCAGTTTTCACACCCACGCCTTTGCAGGGGGTATAAAGAGTAGTTTCACCTACCTTCGCCCTCATCCTCAGCCCTTCAAAGGGTCATTGCATGCAGTTTTGTGGGCGTT